TAAAAGCGCTTTGAGTGGTCAAAAGACTAGAAAGGCGCTATAAAAGTACAGGTCCATTTACCACTTGGCATTTACTTTGTGATATAGAGCAATGATCGGCAATTGCAGCAAGTAATTCACATTGTGTTACTGATAAAGGGAAGATTTCTGAGCCTTACTTAAACTTGCTTGATATCGTAGTACTGTAACATTAACTGTAACAAAACTGTAAATTGACCTTCACAAATTGAGAAAAGATATCTATTTAATCCTTGTTGGCTGAGTGTCTAGCAAAGGCATACCTTTCTCTTGTCCGCCAAAATACTCTAATCAGTCTTGTAGAGAATGCAGGGACATGGGTCATAGGATATATTATGCTTAGGATAATTTAATATAAGGGCTCAGGGGCAAATGCTACAAAACATTTGGCTTGCACCTACCTGCCGGAATCACTAATTTTTATTGTCACTTGATCACCACACAGCAGTTAAGATATTGTGTTTTGTTTTTTGGCTTGTGAGATTAGATTTGCAATTTATGGACTGTGTTTGACTCTGGGGTAGCACGGGGTAAAGCAGTGCCTGCAGATTATGTCACACAGTGCTAATGTGATTGAGAATGATTAAGGCCAAAGAATTTGGCCCTAAAAATACCTTTTTCAGGACCCTAAATTACAGCAATCAAAAGCAAAAAAGGGGAATGGAATTAATGAAAGTGATTTAAAGGAGTAGATCCAATCCACCTAATCACAAACACTGTTTGACTTTTATTTTTCCTAGAACTCACTGGTGCGTCTGTTGACCGGTAAGGAGAGAGACAAAGCACGGTCAGTGTTCCTGGGTCTAGATCTGGATCAAGACGGTGTGATCACAAGAGCGGAATGCCGCCAGGCCCAGCAGTCCTGGTTCCATAAACTCAACAAAGACTCACAGTCTTGCAATGTGAGGTGAGTATGCCAAAGGAGAGTAAATCCAGTCAGTTCGATGCCCAACATAGTAAAATTCAAATCTGGGACATTAGTTTGAATACCTTGAGATAACACAGTATTCCATGTCTAGGCTGAGATAAAATAAAGGCACACGTCTGTGTAGAAGTATGGTAGGAGTTTGGGGAGTAGCAACTAATTTGCATGCAAACATTAGCTGGCAGAGGGAAAAAGGTTTGGCTGCTTAGGGAATAGAGACAGCGAGAAAGAAGATTTGAAGCAAGATAACAAGCAAGAGAAGTTCCTTTCTCATTACATATGCTTCCTGTGATTAATATAATATACAGAAACAGTGTCCATTTCGTTGCGTTTAGTTTCTTTGCAGATGAAGCACCGCTTTACTTGCCCAGTATATCAAATGATAAAATCAGTTGAGACAGTCTTTTCAACATCAATGTCGACAAATGATACTGTAGCATGCAATGATCATTCAAACCTCAGCTTAGATACATGACAACAGTTTGAATTCATTAAACTGCAACTTCCAGTCAGTTCTTCTTCATTTTAAGTGACCTACTGTCTCTTGCACACATTTTATATTTTCTGTGTTGGTGTAGCATAAGTGTAACATATAATTAAATAAACATTTTTTTCCACTATATCCAATAGAACTTGGAATGACATAAACCAAAATAGGCTTGAATAGATACATCTGCTTATACATTAATTTCTGTATACTTACCAAGAAACTAATACCAATAGCAGTAATTAGACACACAAATAATTCATGTAATTATTTTGTTGCCATTCTTCCAAAGCATTGGTTTTCATATATTTACCTTCTCTATTTTCTCTTTACGGAGCTTTATAGTGAGTTTCAGTTCCTTGTTTATGACCAGGCCACAACTTCACTCTTTTGATTCACTCTCACAGCTTTCATAGTGTAGTTTTCAGCTGCAGTAGGCAACTGTTTGCAGTAAAAACGCAAAAACAAAACAAAACATTATGCTCCTTAACTGCTGGATGTGTATGAGTAACTATTCCCTTACAAGTTTGCCTTATCGACTTAAAAATGTTCACAACATGTTACAACTGTCTCCAAGAGGACAGGTCTAAAGTTTCATTATCGTAAGATGGTATGTTAATGACTCTGCATGCCATTTGTTTTATTAATCCACACTGCCAAATTCCCCTGTAAGGAGATAGACTTTAAATTACAAGATCAACTAATTAACTAATTGTATTTCACCAATGCTTTATGACCTCCGATGAAAGTTGTAATGTGTACTGTGTATCAATGAGGCATCTATTAAGTAGCTTTTCTAATTTCAGTAAATCTATCTACAGCTATGAATGAATTATAATAAGGGAACTCAAAACCTCACAGTGTCTGCAGTGCTCAATTGCTACAGATGTTGAAGTTGCTGACAACAAACAGACTTCTTTAGAGAAGGAGGAGAAAAATTAAAGTTAATACAAGCATACTTGTACCAATGCACCATTCTTTGCATTTGCATCCATTTACATTCCATCACACTTTGCTTTCAAGATAATGAAAGAGAACATAATATTCATAAATCAAATAAGTAGACAAAAAGAAGTACTCAAAAAGCTAACCAAATTACACTTTCAGCATATATTATATATGACATGAACTCACAGAAGGTTCAACCCTGTTGTCATTTAGTTTTTGCACTGGTGTGCATTCATGATTTAACACATCCCCTGGCCAGTTTGTCAAATAAGGTATCTGCTTTGACAGAAATTTCCCCCAGGTCAAGCAGCACAAAACCACCACATTCTGGAGCCTTTTGGAGATCTGGTTGCCTGCAACACTGACTTGGACATTTTTGTTTATCTCCCTGTCGTCATGTTGACACTGAAAATGTCTGACTAGCCAATGTGCACTGTAACCAGACTGGGGCATAACAATTGTGTTTCTCTGTCCTGCAGAGGAGCTTTGAGCTGAAATAGACTGCAGAAGAATCAAAGGCATTGTTTTTGACTGGTACACTGAACAGTATGCAATCAATGCTTACACCAGTGCAACACTGATAATAGCAAAGGGAGCTGTGAATAGCAAGTGTTTCTGCTTATCTCAAGTTGAACATATTTAAATCATGTCTTTCTCAAATCAAGTAAAAATCGAAAAAAGATAATGCAGTCAGTTCCTCCTGTCATATTAAAGGCACTAAAGTAATGTGTTTTATTCAATAATGTATTCTGTGCTACTACTCAAGCTGTTAGTAGGCACTTAGTTCCCCGCCGGTTTGATGGCGGGAACATGAGTATAGTGATATGATATGATAGTTTTGATGCTGAGTATGACTGAATTCCTGCTATTAATAAATTGTCACGTATTAAATTGATGAAGCTGGTTGCTTTTGCCTGGAACTGTGTTCCAGTTGAACTGTGTTTTTTTGAAGACTCTTGAGGCAGGCTCACTACTGAGCTGTTTGTGCTTTGTTTGGCTAAGATCAATTTAGGTTTGGCGCCTGAAATGGCTACAGGTTATGGGCACAATAACTTGAACATATGTACAGTATAGGGCAATCCAATACAACAACCCTGCAACAAAACTACCTTTGTGGAGACTTCTTGATACTGAATCAAAGGAGAGACAAAATATTCAATACATTTCACCATATAATGCAATCTCTCCACCACAAAGTACAGCCTCGAAAATGACCCCAGAGCTGAATCAATATGTCTTTGACAAGTCTTAACAAAAATCGAACAACATAACCTTCAAAAAAGCTGTACAATGTAATCCAGTCTTTACTGGATTACATTGTACAGCTGTTGATTTTAGAGTGTCCATCCCCTGTAGTCTATACTTCATGATTGATATTATTAATATGGCAGAAAATGCAATAAGAAACCACACTCTATAGTGCATATACTATATACTAGCATATACTAGTGTACTATGTATAGTACACTATAGTACACACTATAGTACACTATACATAGTATGTTAAAATAAATATCACTGCTTCTCAATTTGACCTCATCAGAGTAATAATTAATAGGGAATAAGCTCTGATTAACTCTGATGAGGTTACATTTCTTTTTACTCACTGTGTGTTTGTGCGACATTGTGTGCTTGTGTGTCAGTGGTTGAAAAAGTATTCAGATCCTCTACTCGTGTAAAAGTAGTAATGTTATTATATTATATTACATTGTGCTGCATAACAAAGGAAAGTTTTGCATTAAGTAAAAGTACATATACGTTCTCATGATGAATGAATGCATTAGTATTTTTGGACCATTCTTACTAATAATCATTAATAATGCACGCTACTACAAATAAATGCAAATTATACCATATTCCTTGTTAAATGGAAAATACAAGTGAGATTTGTACTGGATTAAATGTATTTTCCACCACTGGGGTGTTTGTATTGTCTGTGTTAGTATTGTATGTGTGTGCATGTGTTACTGCTTATAACCTTTTGTGCTGTCACATCTCCTGTGCTGTGCCATTCCATCCCTCTCACCTATTCAACACGCGGCATTCCCCACAGACTCATGGGACTCTGCTCTCCTATGTATTGTGGGTGAGTGTGACTCAGCACTGCATGGCTTGTCTCCCTTTTCCTCACTTCAACACCCTTGAGCACTAATCCTCAAGTATTCTCAGACAACCCCTTGATTTAGATTTCATTCAGAATTTAACCCTCTTAACTTCCATACTGGAAGATTTTCCGAACATACAGCAATCAAAGATGCATGCATCCTTCAATGAAGCTTAATGAGCAGAATGTGAGCCCCTCATATGATTAGGTCTTGTTATACTGAGGCGTGGATAAGATTCAGGCTGGCCTCTAATTATAGGGATCAAAAGAAAGCCTTTTGTTCTCTTTAGGGGAGCTTCTCTTAAAAGCCTAACTTATCAATGTAAGAGGACACTCTGGACATAAAGGGTGTGAGTGTGCACCGTGCACATCAGGTCCACACATACTGTAACACTAAAAGGCAACCTCATTCATTCATGCTCATTAAAAAGCAAATATCAAATGAGTCAGAAAACTCTGCTCCCTTTGATCGCTGGATTATAGACATTACCAAGATACAGTGTGAGAGCGAAAAGGAGTTTTTCAAGCTACCGTCAGTCAGAAGGTTCACCAGGAGAGCTTCTGTCTGACTCTGAAAGGTTGACTACTTGTGACTCATGTAGGTGCAGAAAGCAGTCATATGGGTTTCTTGTGAGATGTGAAGTGACATTGTCTCACTCCATATCTTTATATAACCTTTTTTGATTTGATTTGAAACGGTTCTAGCATGAACAGTGGTTTAAAAAAAGATCTAAAGGTCCACTCTGAGAACTCTGTCTGAGTTTAAGATTTTACAGACTTTATGTACTTTATTAGTGATGAAAGTCACAGTCATTGTAATCACCAATTAGATGATTAAATTGAGATTGAAACAATGACTTCATCAAATACTTTTTGGACTTGGCCAATAGAAAAATCCAGTGGGTGCTCTGAAGTGCAGCTTTCAGAGTGGAATGGAACAAATTTACACTGACAGTGAAAGATAATGCAGAGATGTTTAGGTTAATCATGGCTGGCAGTCACCCCCTCCAACAGATGAAGGTAATCTGTGTGAAGATATGAGTTATATATATTACACTAGTGAGGCAACAGGTTGTGAAGAATAACATTAACATACCTCTTCTGTCCAATCCCTGCAGTCTGGAAATGAAAGCACTGTGTGGAGTTGCTGGTTGTTAATTCATTAATTTAGGGTGCATTTTCCTTTTTTTTTATTGGAATTGGAAATGTCTAGTCCTTTTTTTGACTGCTGTGTGCTTAACTTTTTCTGTCGTTTTTTTATTCTTTGTCCTTTGGTACAGTATAAGTCATGTTGGCCCCATATGCGAGAGCAGTCCAGCCAGCTCTGGCAGTGAAAGGAGCAAGTCTGATGAAAGCAGGTTTGTCTTCTCTTATATCTTTAGTGAGTGTGTTTGAGGTTTCTTTGCAGTAAATATGTGAAGCTCTCCTCTCACAGGCATTACCTCAAGCTGACAGGCTTTACAGACCTGCAGACTCAGTAAAATGTACATAAACGTTTTTGCGCCGTTAGAATAGGCCTAGACTTTTCCCACTGAACCAGCCTACATATGGCAGCTTCCGTGACCCTACCGTGCAAAGAGATAATATTAAAAGTATTTAATGGCAGCAACAGTGGAATTCATTTCTAGTAATGCAACCTAGAAAACTACACCTCGGACTGACCTCAAACTCACCTTCTGCCACCAGATAATAAAACACAAATCCTCTTTGACATATCATGACTTCTGAGACGTTTGGCCATGCCGCATTACAACATTTTGCAATAATTTAAGCTAATGCACCTCCGCACTTGAGGCAGGGGCTACAGGGAACCGCAATTACAAAGAGAGCCCCACAAGAGAGTCTTATTAGGTTGAATGCTAATTAGGAGAACATGCTTAGACAGAAGTCTGACAAACACTATATTTTATAACTGAATTTTCAAAGCAGCAGGAGGCAAATTACAACAGAGCAGAGGCCAGATACTTATTATAATGATATAACCAAATCATTTTTACTACATGGTTGCTGTATTGTATTGGTAAGGGGTGTGTCCTATGTGGGATAATGCCGGTGCATCTTTATATTTAGTGTAATTATCATGAGCAAATCCCAAAATTAAAAACATCAGAATACAATTTGTAAGTGTGGTCAGGAAGTGGCTGGTCTTAATCTACATTCTCTGATTGTTAAAAATTCTATGAGCAAAGACCAAAGCAAACAACGTCTCTCAATACTCTCCAGCTTCCATACCTTGTTGAATGGCCCATTTTTTCCTAAGATGTAAACCTTTAAAAGTGGGTTACAGATATTTATTTTTTAATCTGTGTCCGGAGTAAACAATGCATTTCTTGACACGGATAAATACATATTTAGTGCACTATATGGAGTATTTCTGGGACCAGGATGGTGTATGTAGGATTGACTCAGTGCCCATGCTCTTTGTAAGGAAAGAACATGCCAGTTAGTATAGCTACAGTGTAGCTGTATGTGTTTTTAATCATACATCAGACTTTGGCTACAGAGGCAATACTCATCAGTAGATTCAGATGTGTTGACAATAACAAAAATATAGAAACTATAGCAAACAATAGCTTTTCCACTATTTCTTTAGTGTTTTGTGATTCATTTTCCATTAAAAATAAATGATTGCAAAAAGACTGTTGGCTAATAAATAAATACAAATCTTTATTCAACAGGCCAGTGACCTGGGCAGACTTTTTAAAGGAGAGCGGCATCTATATTATAGCTGCGCGGCCCAATAGTTCTGCGATGCACATCCGCCTGCCTCTATAGTCCAGGATCCTCCACTGCACCCCAGCAGAGAGAGGGAGAGAGAGATAGAGGGTGTACCCTATAGTCTACAGATGAGCGGAGGAAGACAGACGTGATGACACGATGACATGAGGAAGGCAACTGAGCGAACTGGATGAAGCACTGAGAGACAGCAGATCAAGCCATCGACAGAATCTCTCCTCCTCTGCGTCACCTCAAACCCACAACACTGACAAACACACACACTGACTGAGACACCGACGACGCAAGTGACAGCTGCTGTCACAGGTCCCAACTCCAAAACCTGACGGCTTCCAACAAATGCGAGACATAGGATGAGGAAGACAACCACCCACTCACTAGTCAGTCAGCCAGGGATATTTCTGAAACTTTGGAGTGTAGAGCTCATGCAAACAATCAGACAAGCTTCTATGTTCGCACTCTGTATTAAATGACAAATACTCCAGCTACACAACACACCTCTCCATGCAGGTACATTAGTGTGACAGGCTGTTACTCTTTCAAGTATTCATTCCTCCGGGCCTCATCGTGTCCTAATAATAGTTCCATGCTACTGTAATGGGATTGTGTTATTCACCATCAAAATTGTTAATCACACTACACAGAGGCACATGCAAATTCGTTATTGGTACTCTTTGACAAGTGGATACACTTCTGGGAGGAGATTAACCCTGCCGCTGCCATTATCAGAACATATACCAAACAGGAATGAAAGCTATCCGCATACATATTATATGAGAACTGCTATCCATACCAGTATAAATTATTATTATGCATTAAAACGCTGTATTTATTCCTGTATTCTCAGATATATCGTCTGTTTCCTCCATTCTCATCCAAGAATCTATGTTCCTCTTAAGTACTAACTGTGAAAAGGGATGTGTTAATGAACGTTAACGAAAGCTAACCCAGTAAGTGACATGTATATACTGCCATATAGTACATTTTTTTCCTGTTGTGCTCAGAGCTGCACTTTGACAAGGTGGAAGCATCCGCCCTTCTGTTCTAGTGTCATTATTTGCACTGTGGTAATGAGATGTAGATGGACTACTGTGTGACATTACCACTGTAATGAAATACTGAGAGACAATGGGAGATGTGGTGCAAACATTCATCCTATGTTAATTTGCAGAAGTACTGTTTAAGAATTGCTATGGGAAATGTGTGGAATTATATAATGTTACAGGCTACACAACAGTTTAAATGCACATGAAACTGCCCATAGAATCACTGGAAACATGCTGTAACAAGTAGGATTTCATGTAGTCTGTATGCCATGTAATGAAGGGTCGATGCCAGGTCGTCTTAGTGATTAAAGTATGGTTATGACATGTATCTTGACTGTCTGAGGCATATGTCAGTGCTAAAATAAATGCATGGCATTTACTGTCCTACTGTCTTTTCTCCAATTTTTGTTTAAGCATGAATACATAAATACATGAAAGCACATAAGGCTTTACCATAGAAATTGACTATACTGTTGAAACAAATAAAATATATTATTGTATTTTCCCTATAGCAATACATGTAAAAGTATGACAAATGTATGCAAAATATAAACATGTAAAATAATCACATTGATGTGCGATTCAATGGCTAATTAAAGTTTGTATGAAATCATTAATTTCCACTGAAAAATTATCAACAATCATGAATTAAAGCCCTAATTACCACACAGCAGTATACACTTAAATACATAAGGTGGTCCATTTAGACTGTATTTGCTTCGATGCAAAAGTTTAAAATTTAGCCAAAATTGTCAGCTCCCTCACTTTGTTGCTTGAGCAGAAACATGGTTGCTTCAAGTGCAATTGCTCAGATTATATGTTCCACAGAGGGAAAAGAGCCATGGCTGAAAACCTTATCCATACACTCTCAAACATACAGTATAATGTCAAGAGGGTTGTAGCACAGGGACAGTCAGAAGTGGCAATAGTGTAGCAGATGGGAGCTGAGTGTCTGCTCAAGCTTACATCAAGAGGACAGAACCCCGGTTCTCACAGCATCATGGCCACTGAACCTTTCACCTGCCCACAATTGAAGTGAAAAGGATTGTCTCTCATACCACCAAGAGGTCACCTCCCCACTAAGGGGTTTGCAAGAGAGAGAGAGGGTTGGACAGAATCTGTGGTCTGAAAAGTGTTTTGCCTCAGAGGCTTGTTGAGTTTTAAAAGATGAAACTGGTCAAAATGGAGAAGGTAAACATACTTCTAGTAGTCACACAGTGTAGCTAACCTCTGCTGCCCTGAAGCTTGTGCTACTTTTCTATCTGTCAGTAAAACAGAGTCCAGCTGTACTACCTCCCCAAAGGTTGAACTGAAGGTCAAACAGTAAGAACTGGAGGGAGAAAGACACACACAGCAGAAAGAGAGAGAAAGACACAGAGAGACTAAACAGGAAATGGAGATAACAGGACACAAAGAATAGAAGAGCGTGTGTGGGAGAGAAATCGTTTAGATGAGGATGTTATGTAATTGTTTCATAACAGATTCGATGATGATGTTCTTGACCGGGCTAATTGCTACATTAAATGCTGAGTCAAATGTGAAACTTGAGCTCTGAATTGGTGGAAGGTTGTCCCACCCAAATAGCCTCACAAATTACCGGTCTAATGAGAAAGATTGTTTTAAGCCCTGTAATGCAGCCTTCGTGTCAGTCGGGATATTCTGCTCATGATGTAGTCATCATGTCCCCAAATAAAAGTCTGGTACAATTTATAGGGTTGAAAGAAAAAGTTGAAAAGGGATGAAAATAAAGCAGGCTTGACGATTTGATAATAGGCCAGTGCTTTTTTAGATATGAAAGCAGCAAATAAAGCAGCCAAAGGCTTAAAAATGTGATTTATGTTATTTTCATAACATAATTGACAATGGTAAAGGCTGAAGTAGGATGTATAAATAAATACATTGCACCTTTAAGCCCACTTGCTCTCCCTGCAATCCATTTGTAATGGTTTGCACATATGGTGTCGAGGCTAAAAGGTACCTCTTAAATAAATAAAAAAGGGAATTTAACCATGGACACAACACACTCTTCAGTTTTAACCTGTATTTACTGAGGATATTGATTTCATCAAGACAGTTCTTATATTTTGTACAACAGAAGTTTCGCACAAACATGTAATTGAGCTGCAGTAGTGTGTATGACTCAGTTGTGAGAGTTGTTCCAATCCATTTAAACTTCTAGTAGACCGTAGCAAATCTTGACAAGAAGTAAGACCAATTGACCAATCAAGCTTTCAAAGCAAGGCGTGTGAAAGTAGTAGACAAAATAAACCAACACATTTTTGAAATCCCTGTTTTAAAATATATATATATACATATAGTCAACAAATCCCATTAAAAGATCAAAACCAACAACACTGATCCTATACATATTGTCCATGTAGCCAAAGTAGTAGTTTATTCCTCTGTGCCACCAGTGGATCCCAACCCTTTTCCTGAAGGTTATCATTGAGTAAACTGAGGACCACTGACTCTGTGACTTATTCTTTATGGACATTTCTTTTTATATTCAATGCTTAATAAAGAAGCTGATACAGTGAACGCAATAACTACAGGGTGTAAACCAAGCGATTTGAATAAATTATTTCCTGTGAATATAGCATAAGAGGAGGGTTTTATTGATATTTCTAATCACTTTTTATACAATTCTCTGTATTATGTATTTTTTAAAATATTTTTAATAATTATACATCCTTAATATGCTTCTTTTTTGACAGTGTTTTGTTCTCCCTGAAACTTGGCCAATGTTCTATGAGCTCTTTGGTTGTTTTAACTTCTCTAATGCAGGTTTATTATTAAAGTTTAGATCTTAAATAATAAAGTTTAAAAATAAGTTTTCTTTACAGAAATGAAAATGTTAAACATGCATGTGCCACGCTTCCACCTGTCCTGGATCTGGTCGGGCCAATCACAAAAGGATTATTTAATATGGGGGTAGGTTTTACACGATGACAGAGGAGCGTCACCAGCGCAGATTTGACAGTGTCGATCACCCCAGCGCTGATAAGGCCTGTTGGAAACCAAAAGTGAACTGAGAAGTCCCAGAATAACTTGCATTTGCGAATGATGATGTGGGCTAATGAACACGGACGCTGTAGTCTTAAATCAATCCCATGTACATGATTTCATTAGAGCAGTGAACGTGTATTAATCCACCTCTAAAAGCAGTCCACAACACAAGCAAAATGAAGTGCTGTTTAAGGATATGATAAAAACTACAGTGTCCAGAAATTTTAAGAATACTGAGCTTTTTTTAAAATTGAAACTATATATTTGTATTTTTTATGTCTTCAGCAGGAACCAATTAGCTTGGGGTCACAGGCAGAGTGAGGAAGTCAGAAAGCATGGAGAGATGAACTTACATCCAGCGTTGTTGGTTTTTGGTTTTCATGGGATTTGTTGACAATAAAAAAAATACAGAATAAAACCAAACATAGGAAGACGATCCTACTCTAAACTGTTCAAATTTCAGTGCTTTGATAAAACAAGTTTCCAGTGTTTTCACAAAGGACCAAGTGCGTGAGTACAAGTGTGTTGCATGCACAGATGTGAGCCTGTGAGAGTGCCAAGGCAACAAGTGTGAGTCATCGCCCCCCATGTGTAATCCAGAGGAGCTCAGTATAAAGGTTATCTGGCATGGCCTACGGAGAGCGTATCAGGGCCAGCTGCTGGCCGAGGTGCTGCGGTGCGCCTGGCTGCTGTTGTTTGATGGCTTCACTCAGCAGGGATGAGTAATGGTAAACAACAGTGGCACTGTGGTCACGGCTCTGGGGAAGCGGTGCCAGAGTGGAGCCACAGTAAAATGTCAGCACATCAGTCACATCACAGAGTTCATCAGCAGGTCTGTGAGCCAATACAGGATTTCTAATGAGACTGCGAGAGCTCTCCCAGTTCGGGCTTCGGCTTTAGACTCTTTGGTACGAGAAAAGAATGCTTTCAAAGTCATAAAATGATCCAGTATCAGGGTTTACCCACTACCACTTCAGTCGCTATTCTACCATTGCCAACTGACACATCAACATTTTCAACACATCAAAACTAACAACATACCATCCAACTCCATCTCTCCCATCCATTTTTAAATCCACCTCCACATGCAAGCAAAAAAACATCACATCCCACCTCCAACAGTCGGGCCAGCTTCTTCCTCGGAGCCCACTCTGTCTCTTAAACTGACGTGAGCCAATTACAGCCGTCTGGTTTCAGGACAGTCGTCTAACATGCTCTTGGATTTTTAAAACTTGAATTTGATGAAATATTAATATTAAAGTGCTCTGGTAAAAAAAAAAGTTGGATGGCACGCACTTTGATCTGCACATAAAACATGCACATTAAAATTATTGCATCACGCATAATCTCACTGTTTTCACATTGCTTAGTGATATTTTCCCCCAAATAAGAAGCCCTCTGAAGAGAAACTAACTATATACGCTGTTTATTACAAGACATAAAGGCTGTGAAGGGAAAAATTAATCTCTTTAATTGAACACCCGGTGTGGACCGACATCTGTGTACTGCAATCAACTGTGACCATGACCATAATTTAGGGATGTGTCTGCTGTAACATTCTAGATAATAGGGCCTTGTGAAATGTAGATTCTCCTGTTTTTAAATGGTCCAGTGAAAGATAAACTCCTTTCAGGTCACACATCTCTGTTGGACACATTTTTATTTAGCTCCTCGTTATGTGCCAAGCGCCTCCAGCGTTCGCTACCCCCCTGTGTCTGGATGATGTTGGAGAGCTGTTTGGGGGTCATTAGTTCTATTAAATCTGCATTGAAGTTAGAGGGAAAGAGTATTGGTGTAGTTAGGGAATGGTGGTGAGGGGACAAAACAAACATGAACAGACACTTTTTCAGCTTTTGCTGCACCTCAACATGACTCTAGTTACAGAAAATACTGCAACAAAAGAAAGTGAACTGTATCCTAGATACAGATAGAAAGAACTAAAGACTGTAACCGAAGAAAATGTACCCTTATCATGATGTCATCAGAGCGGTTTGTTCAGCTTGTATTGCATAAGTAACATCTTTAAATAAATCCAAACAACTGGAAAATACATAACAAGAGCACTGACAAAGAGACATTTTGAACTGGTACAGCCCAGGTGTAACTAACATACTCTCCATTGGGTGCACACTTACAGAGCCCTTGTATTATGCATTCTGGCTCACTTGTATGGATTTGTTTGGAATATCAATATCTGCACTTTTCCTGCCATGACAAGTCAAAATATCTGCTTCATCTATTGACAATAGCCCTGGCACATCAGCACTGCTCAGGGAAAATGTGACCACAGCAGCTGTATGCTGGCACCGTCCTAGGGTCAAACTGGGCTGCCTGACATAACGATTAGTGATTTTCTGCATCATTTCATCTATAATGAGTGTGACATTTGAGGCATTACAGAACTCACAGTAAACAAAGTTTTGAGGGTAACCTTATAAAGGCATTGTTACTGCTGGACCTCCATAGATCAAAGGCCACCTAAAGACCTTTTGTGTGAGTGCAAGTTGCTCTCACTGACAGCACAAGCTGCAATGCTGAAAAAAAACTCATGGTAAATGTCAAGAATGGCACAAAGCTGTTTTCTATCAGTAGCCTAAATTTAGCAGATACTGTTACCAACCAGAAAGCATTAATCAGTGGCATGAGATTAAGAACAACAGATCCAAATATATTTACAGTCTACAATGTACACAGGAGTGACAAATTACAGAAATATCCCCTCGCCTAGGTGTTACATTGGGTTGAGAACTGGTGACTGAGAAGGCCACAGCATATCATTTTCATACTCATCAGCTGACAAGTAGACCCAAACCGTGCCAGCAAAACGCCCCCCACAGCACAACACAGCCAGTGGATCCCCTCGATGTAGGGGTGAAGCATTCAGGCCTGTACACATGCACTTGCCCACTTGTCGAGAAAATGGCGAAGCATTAGTCATCCAACCATGTCGCTTTTTCCACATCTCTGTAGACCTATGGTTTTTGCACCGCTGAACTCTCAAATGTGGATTCATCTTTGTAATGAGGGGTTGACGCACTGCCACCTGACTATAACGTCGCTCGGTTAAACTCAGAATCAACTGGGGTTGCTCATCATTTTTAAACATGCCACAGAGCATGATTGGATGTGAAATAATTTCTTAATTGCACCATGCAGTGCACCTGTGTGGAAGTATCTGCATTGGTTATGTTTCAGCACCCATTTCTTGAGGTTTTTCATTTAATTTGTCACTGACACTATCATCTCTTGATCAGTATCATCTTAAACATGCCTATATTCTGTTCATGTGTATTAGAAATTAAAGCTCATCCGTTTATCTGGTCTTTACATGCAAGTGGAGCTGTATTTACATACTGTCACTGCCACTGTAGGCTACTTGACTCAGGCTTCCATCTAGTGTTGAGTACACAGAATTACATCTCTCTTTAAAAACTTTAAAACATGAT